AAATAGTTGACCATGAGTTTGACTCGATGAAAATGAAATTTTGTAAGAAGGTGTTTGAAAGATATTTTTGTGAGAAATGCATTCCTCAATAGTAAATTGATGGGAAATTGTGTGGTTGAAAAATAAGGAAATTTTTTTTACTTACGTATAATATTATTTTAGAGCCCGTTTGATAGCTATTTTTTTCAAAATGCATTTTTATCTCTATTCTTTTCAACAACACGTTCTTTATTAAAATAATATACACGTAAATTAAAAAAATTTCCTTATTTCTCAACCACACATTTCACATCAATTTACTATTCTAAAATGCATTTTTACATAAAAATGTCTATCAAACACCCCCTTAATAAAGAATATGTGGTTGAAAAGAAGAGAGAGAAAAATACATTTTGAAAAAATGGGTACCAAACAGGGCCTAACTAAAATCTTAAACAATAATGCTACTGTTTAAGGGTTCTAAACAGGCTAAATTCCAAAATTTTAAAAAATCGGACGTGGGATGTTGACCTCCTTTCCTTTCATTTCACAAAAAATATTATTGCTGTTTGGAGGGAAGTAAGAATGAGCGGGAAAAAAGATACAACAACTCATATACTACAAAGGAGATTCTTCTCTCTCCACTTTTGCAGTCGACCGAAAACCATCCCCAAAATGAATTCTCTCCGACTTTAGGGGTTATTTCGATTGATTAGGGAAATTCCGGCAAATTTTAGCCTGTTTGATATATCATACTCACTTCGTGAACTAAGACGCTACCGACTTCAATGCAAGTCAAGAATCTTCACTAGCAATCGGAATAGGGTGGTTGGGGGCTGATCATCAGCCGATAGAAAATACAACAACATTGGCTTCGATGATGGGTGAATTCAAGTGGATAAATTTCACCTAGTTTTTTGTAATTAATTGCACATTTTTGCTTAAATTTTAAGATTTTTGCAATTAATTGGAATTTTTGTAAGTAATGCACTTGAATAGATCTCCTCTTAATTTAACTAGAAATAGCTTGCTCGTTTTGTAATTTAATTAATTACAGTAAAAATTGTTAACTTCAAAATTTGTAATTTTTTATTGACGAATATCATCTTGTCCGGCTCCCATAACAAACGAAAATACCATGTACAGAGCAACAATCTTGATTGTAGTGAACTCCATTGGATGAACTCAAAAGACCAATAACTATTAATTTGTGAGTATATAAAATGAACAAGGTAGCATTGAGTGCACTTGTGTATCTGGGAAAGAGAGAAATAAACTGGGCAAAAAGAAAAGTGTTTACTATGATGAGAATTTCTTTGTGCAAAGCAAGGAGTGTGTGCTTTACATAAAGTTGCTCTCTATTACTAATTTTTTTAATAAATGGAAAATGTTGGATTGAACGTGAGACAGGAACAGTAAGGAAATTGAATAGTTTTGTTGGGTGATTTATAATACATTTAATGGACTACATTTTGTTGAATCTTGAAATTTGAATCTATCTGAGCACAGCTGCCAAATGGAAATTGATTGATGTTTGTGATGATTTTGCAAGAACATGGTAGTGAATGCCGACGGGTCTCGCAAAGGGAAACTTTCTTGGGCAATGGTTGTGAAGTTGGGTCTCCGATGACCGGACACGGTAGCTGTGCGTGGCGACTATTAAAAGCAAAATATTGTGTGGCGACCGGAGTTAAAGTTACAGGTTCTCTGCTCTTTCGTGGATTTTACGATTAAAAGGTGAAGTGGAAGAGAATGAGACATTTTCATTGAACGCGTGAAGTGGAGAGAGAAAGCAACTGTTATTGCTTCAATTATGGAAAATTTTGCTCAAACAGGGGTGTGTCCTTCTCTTCAATTATTTTATTGTATTGCATTGAATGAAAAGGACAGGAAGTCAACATGCTACGTCTGATTTTTTAAAATTCTGGATTTTAGCCTATTTAGAACACTGTCACAGTAGCATTATTGAATCTTAAAAAACAAGATTTAACTCTTGTTTGATAAGGTATACATCCTATTTTCAGTCAATTTTAATAAAAAATAATAAAATATATTGTAGAAAAGTTACGCATCTCATAAACTTATAATTAAAATTAATTGTTGATTTAAATTTTAATCAACTTTTTAATTAAACATGTTGCTAATAATTTGTTTGATAAATATTATTGTAGAAAAAAAGTTTTGAATGGAGATTTTTAGAAGAATGTATGGTTAAAAAGTAGGAAATTTTTTTAGTATATGAGTAGAAAAATTGAAAATGATTCTGTAGCAAACTTTAAAATACATTAATAGTTGTAAACAGTCGCAATAAGCGGATCCAAGGGTTTGGGAAGGAAAATGCTAGTCCACCAGATCCATTTGTACATACTCAATACAGGTATTAAATAATAAATAAAGGACAGACACGTGGTTGGAAAGGAAAAAACCGAGAGGATGGTGATAATAAATGAAAAAAATATGTGAAAGTTAGCTCATTACCCTCAAAATAGCAGCACGGACGTCTGAGGGAGAAGAGTGTAAGAGAGCACTAATTAGCTTCCAATCGTCGCGAATCTCGTCACCGGCAAACCAACCATACAAAATTCATTTGGGCACACTTAAAAGCCCATAAAAGAAAAATGGTTGAGGTTGGCAAGCATTCCAAATAGAACCAAAAAATCAGCGAACTCATCGCTGCTGGCCGCCACGAACTCGAACATCAGAGTCTTCATCTTGCCAAGTAAGGTTCTTCTATTTTAGTTTGTTGCATTTACTATATGGGTTCAATTTTATTTGCATAAAAAGCTGAAAATAACATTCTCTATCGGGTACACAATGGTGATTGGCTTAGCTGCAGACTTTGGCTATGAAAAATGCACCTTGCTAGATGTCACTAAATTTACGCTTCAAGAGAACTTTTCCCTCTTGACTAGTATTCAACCTTGCAAGATGATTCTTCGTATCCAATACATATGCTTTGTCAGATTATCTCTTTGGCATTTTCTGCAATTGCGTATCTACAAAAATGCTTCAGTAGGGAGAAGCATAAATTTAGTGCCATCTGGTGTATCTACAAATAGGAATTTTCTCTTTACTATCATGTTTGTCACGATAATATTTGCAAGCGTAAATTTAGTGCAATTCTCTTCGTCATTCTCTGTAATATTTGCAAGAGAATTGGAAAATGCTATTTGGAAGAGAATTGGAAAATGTTGATCGTGTTTGTTGCCTACAGTAGTCATAGATTTGTTTAGGTTTGTAATTTGCAATGTTGAGGTTGTTCCTTGTGTTCATTGTAAGTGTTATGCGCTAAATCCAATCGATTTAGGTTGTAAACACTTTTAATATGTTTAATGTATTTAATTTTGGGAAGATCTATTATTTATTTAAATTAATTTTCTGATAAATAATATTAAATAATAGAGTCCGAAAATCCAAATTTAAGTGATTTGTTAATCATAAGGAGTTGTGATTATAAGATACAAATTACGTATGATTGGATCTTGAATAATCCGTGGTCGTAAGTAATAACGAGATACGGATATCATTATTATAGATAGACCATCACGTGTGGCATTTTTTACTTGTGAAGTAAGTAGTTGATCTCACAAGTTAAAGTGTGGTGACACTTAAATGAACACGTGGATGTTTTGTTATAGAACAAAACATTAGAGAACCGCTAAGAGATTCCACATGGATAACTATCTGAGTGTCAACGATTAATCTCTAATGTTCGGTAGTGGAATTGGTCCAATAACTTGAGATCATCATAGTGCCTTGTATGAGGACAGTCATACTTTGACGGTGTTGGATGTTGCTCAATCAAGGGCCGCTAATATGACATCGTTCGGGTATGTCAAGAACCATATGAAAGTTGTGAATGACCAATAGAGGATTCGTCAATTTTAGATAGTAAAAGATCGTGATCTGCATTTCGTTCAATTAAGTCAATAACGAAATTTTTGGTCAAGGTATACACATAAGTCGAAAAGGAGTTTTCGACTAATATTGACTTAATAGTAGAATGAAAGATATGATCGGTAATCGAGATTGATACACTTTCATATCTCGTAATTGATCGGATCATATTAACGAAGGGATTATAGTTTTATGGTAAACGAATAAGTTTGGTTTTGTCATACCACGTGACATTTCCCATCATATATGTTGCCCTGATACATTGCTAGATGTCAATCTTGGACGACAAGTGTGAATTTAAAAGGGTGTTTAATTTATCAGTTTTGATTAGATCAAAATAATATTTCACGTCGTTAGGCATCGTGGTCGGAAACCTGATGGGTCGCACACAAAAGAGAATTGGAAGATTGTAAATTGCCAATTAATTAATTTAACAATCGTTTGTTAAATTAATTAATTGGATTGGTTATTTATAGCACCGAATTGATTAATTGGATTAATTAATTCACGGACCGAATTTAATTAAATGGATTAATTAAATATTGGACCGAACCAGGCCGAGCCGTTTGAGTTTATATAAATACATGATTAGGGTTTTAGATCCATATACTTTTTCATAATTCTTGCTAGTACAAGAGGAGAAACTCCAACAGTTGCAGTCTATTCTCTGTGTGGATTTCATTGGAGGCTGGACAATTGGACAGCTGTGGGAGGCAGATTCAAGTTGCTAGAACAAAGATAACGTAAAGGAGTTTGTAGATTCAAGAAAATGTATAATTCTCATCACAATTCTTATTTAAATACAAAGATAAATCCTGGTAGGAATTGAAATTATTTTTATTTCCGTTATGCATGTTTAAGTAAATTTCCAACAGTGGTATCGGAGCCAACTTTGTATTTGTTAGGAATCGAAATACATGTTGATTAAAATAATCATTTTTATTCTTGAATTTAGCAATTATAGTGTTTTATTTTATTTATTCAAAATTTGATTTTGAAAAAAAAAAAATTGGATCGAGGCGACGGTGGTTGCCTGTAGCAGCAGCGGCTTCACTGCCGCTGCTACAGGCGGCATCCCCTGCCAACTGTTGGGCGGGTGGCGCCGCCAAAGGAAAAGTAAATAAAAAAAATTCCATTTAGGGTTTTCATATTTGGGTGATGAAGATGGGGGCTTCCCTTGAAATTTATGAAATTATGGGGACCCGTCTGCAATTAAAGAAGAAGGGGTCAATCTGAAATTTTAAATGGAGGGCATTTCTGCAATTTACGAATATGGAAGCCCCTATTATTAATTTTTCCAGTTGGGTCAAATTTGCAATTTCAAAAGATGTTTTAAATTTGTATTTTAAAATTGGTTTTAAAATGGTGTTTTAATTAGGTTTGACCCATATCCTAATTTTGACCCAAAATTAAAATTTATTTAAAATTTGACGACTTTTATATTTTTGTTAAAATTAGATTTTAACTCAAATATTTAATTTTGACCCTAAATTGAATTTTTATTTTATTTGGGAGTTTTGTCCTAAATTGAAATATTGATTCAATTTTATTAGAGTTGGACTCTAATAATTAAAATTTGATTTCAATTAATACTACTTCCCCAATGCAAATTAAAATTCAGAGTAGGACTCTAATTTAATGATTAATTAAAATTTGATTTTGATTAAATTTCTTCGCCCAATAGTTATGGAATTAGAATTGGACTCTAATTCGGGATTTAGTTAAAATTTGATTTTAATTAAATAGGCCCGTCAATTAAGTTAATTAATTATTTCAATCCAAAATTTTAAATTAGTTTTTTTGATGATTATAATTGCCAGATTTATGAGACATTGCATATAATATTAGATATTATATGTAAGAAACATTTATGTGATGAATGTTTAATTATGGATGATTATGGATTTGACCATATGGATATGTTGAATGGTTGATTAATTTCTTGTTGTTTTATGGGCCTGCGAACCCTTAATTGTTTTGGATCTGCGAGTCCGTTATTATTAATGTTTGTTATGGGCCTGCGAGCTCTTTATTATATTGGACTTGCGAGTCCGTTGTTATTGTTATTATTATGGGTTTGGTAGTCCGATTTCTTTTAGGTTTGCGTGCCAATTAGTATAGGATACATGTTACAACTTGACTAATTGAAGGCACAAAAAAATGTGGAAACCATGAAGATGGTGTATTGATGTTGATCCAATGTTGTACCCCTTAGGAATTGACCAATCGATTTTCCTTTTGGCTTGGGAAAACTAGATAGAACAAGTTCATAATCATCCATACTATTATTTATATATATTTATTCGCATAGTTGATATATATATATATATATATATATATTTGATGAGACCATTGCATGTTAAATCTCTCGTTAAAATATTAAGTTAGTATTATTTGTCTTCCATCATTATAGTGAAAAACGAGAATCCTAAATCGACCTCAATTTGTTGAGTACACTCAAGACTGGTCTATTAGGGATATGTTTTGACACTATGAAATATTTGATATTTGTGAATGATAGGTTTGACTTAACTAAAATTTATCTTTTGTTGAGTACACTCAAGGAGATAAGTTTTAAAGGCATGTTAAGCTAATACATAAGATGTGTGAAGATAAAAGAGTTATCAGCTTAATGATCTGAGAGTTGTATGGAGATACAATTGATAATAATATCTACCCAAATATTTTATTAAAATTTGTTGAGTACACTCAAGATCTTGATACCACGAATGGGATCCCAGCCCACTGGGAATCAAATATGGATTCAAATAATTTATGTATGATGGTCATGAATTTATTTTAAACAGTGGGAGCACGTTTAATTAAAGTCCATATTGAATTTGTGCATATGCATTATAATATATATTAATTCTATATTTTTTGTTATTTACAGTTTTTTGAATCATGAGTAATCATATGAATTTGAGAGGCATATTGGATGCCAACAAACTGATCGGACCAAATTTTCTCGATTGGCACCGCAATTTGAGAATCGTTCTCAAGCATGAGAAAATTGGATATGTCATTGAGCAGCTCTTTCCAGAGGTGCCTACTGAAAATTCCATTCAGAAAGAGGTGACTGCTTACAACAAACACAGTGATGACGATAACACTGCAGCATGTGTGATGCTTGCAGCTATGTCACCTGAGTTGCAGAAACAACATGAAGGTATGGATGCTTACACTATAATTTTTCATTTCAAGGAGTTGTAAGAACAATCTCGTGTGGAGAGGTATGAGACCTCTAAACAACTATACCGGTGCAAAATGGCAGAGGGATCTTCAGTTAGTGCTCATGTATTGAAGATGATTAGTTTCATTAAGAAACTTGGTTCATTGGGTTTTATCATGGATCATGAACTAAGTATTGACTTGGTTCTGCAATCTTTGCCAGATAGTTATTCACAATTCATTATGAACTTCAATATGAATAAGATCGAATGCACACTCCCTGAGTTGCTTAATATGTTTAAAACTGTGGAGCCCAATGTCAAGGCTAGCACTGGGCATGTCTTAGCCATTCATTCCTCCAAAGGCACTAAGAGGAAAATCAAAGGAAGTTTTAAGAAAACATCCAAAATGGTTAAGGGCAATAACAAAGCAGTCAAAGTAGGCAAGGACAATACCAAATCTGATGACCCATGCTATCACTGTGGAGTGAAGGGTCATTGGAAGAGGAATTGCAAGACTTACCTCGCTAGCTTAAAGGGAAAGAAGTCTTCTGAAGCTTCTACTGTTGAATATTTGTTCAAAATCAATGGAATGATAATGGACTAATTGTTGGACTCAATTGTGAAATTGGTAGAACCAAAAGAAACTGAAAAATGAAAATTTTGATTTTTGCCTATGCGTATGCATAGACTTATTTTTGTGCGTACAAGAGATGTGCTTTGGCAAAATTAGAATTGATTTTGCTTCTACTATGCGTACGCACGATTTATACTATGCGTACGCAAAGTGTTAAAAAATAGCCGTTGGCTGATTTTTCAATTTAAAACTTGGGAGCCGTTTTGAATTAAAAGTTGTCACTTTTCATCTTGTTTTGGCACCATTTCGTGAAGCTTTGATTCATGGCTATAAATATGTGTTTGTTGGACATAAAAAAAACACATGAAAATCAGATTACAAAACATATGGTAATCTGTCATTATTCCACAAAAACAAAAAAATCATTTCTTCCTCCACATTCATATATTCCCTATATGTTCTTCAAGTTCGGGTAGAGAAATGCTTGTGCTTTTATGTTTCTCTACATCAAGGTTTGATCAATCCTTCAAACCGTTTGCCGCAAGATCCTTTAAGCACCAACATTAATACCAAGAGGAGGCAAATATCGTTTGAGGACAACGATGTAACGTCGTGTTTGAGTTCTTCCATTTTCGTCATGATCTTGATTCGTTTTTTCATCCTCTTGATTAATTTTCTGCATTGTTTCTTATCCAACCCCCGAGGTGAATAATTTCCCAACAATCTCAAATGATATTTGGCAATGGAGAACGAGATCATTATGGAGAGTTCAAGTTGATGATATACAGATCGTTGTTGGAACATTTGATGAGACGAATTTTATATGAAGGCAAGTATGAATTTGAAGATCCTCCATATTCTAAATTCAGATTTGGCGACGCTACTGGAGTCACGCTTCTTTGGCAAGACAAATCTCGAAAGGTTTGAAAGAAATAAATTTTCATTAAAGAATGAAAGGACTGAATCTGTCATCGCGCGTTCGACTACGGTAACTTTCATTTGTTTTCTTAATTCCATATTGGTATGCCAAAACTTTTGATTTGCTTGCGTAAGAGCAAAAGAAAATTGCACAACAATTGGCACGCGTATTCATGATTGCGTAAGATTGAATTTCTAGAAATGAGAATTATTATGTTCAGCCCATATGCTTGGAAATTATGCAAGCACATATGCTTGGAAATTATGCAAGCACATAAATCTATAATCTCATTAACGATTTACAATTAACTAAACATACATTGAAAAGACGTGTCTTTCAAAATCAAACGGTTTCTTAAAATCTGAAATGGTATGAACCTGTTGGAGAATTATCTGACCTAGCAGTATATACATTTTCTTTTGGTCTAATATGCCCTCTGAATTTGTCTGAATAACTCATGTTGCCTTTGGAAGAAACTGCATGTAAGTTTATATGAATTGGTACAATTTAATAGGTGGCAGAAAATGATACTGCTGTTGGCAGTTTGTGAATTAATGGATTAAATAGTGTCTGCAAAATAAAATGAAGATGGCTGATTTATGCATGCCCTTTTTGGTATTCATGTCCATTGAATTCTGGGAAAAGTCAGCAAATTAATGGATGTCATCATTTCATATATGATACAATTGCATGTGAATTTTCATTTTTGATGTTGTCAGCACGTTATGCATGTCTCCATTTAAAACGGTTTGGCCGGTGACTGATGAAAATTTTGTTTATCCATATTACACTTCATTGGCAAATTGTATATTTATACAATTCCCTACACGATTGGAATAAACTTGTGCACATGTGATAGATTACTTGCATGTCGAAGACAGGTTGATGCATTAAGTGCAATATGGGAACGGTTGAGGCCATTGCTTATTTGGGTGCAAACCTGAAACACTTGGTTGCCAGTTCCTTTGGGAATGAAAGTCATTAGAGAATGGAATTGTACCTTATCCATTAAGTGGTATGTGTTACGCCCCTATCTGAACCGTTTCGGAATGCCAACCACTACACATTCCGACCTGATGTCTCCGAAGTGTTTCTGAAATGATCTCACCAATGTCAACGACCTGGTAGCACACTGCGAGACGTAGGCGATCCTGCTGAACTGACCGAAGCGCCCTCGCCCCTTAGGTCGAGGCCAAGTGGACCTCTGTCAGAAGATTCACCGTCAATTTCAGAAAGAGATTTTTGCCAAGATCCTCTTTGCACCTAAGGTTTAAATTGATTTGACGTCTCCATGAGGTTAGTTGACGTGACTTATCAATTTTATGTCAACTCAACCCGGGAGAAACAAACTGCCCGCCCACTCTATAGACGCGGCTGATTGACGCCTATGAGTGGATGCCTCATACCGTCAGATGTATACACGTGTCCCATATCCAACGATTCATCCCACCTATAAATACCCAAGGTTTGACAAGAGGCAAAGGTAATGAAACTCTTACTACATAGCACTCCATAGCAAGTTTATATATTTTCTCCTCCCTCTTAGTGTTTTTGACACAACCTCTGGGTACTGTTTCGACCACCCGAACCTGATTTGATCGTCGGAGTGTATACGGCCGCCGCCACCCCCGCTGGTTCTAGCTGTGTGCGTCTGACAGTGTGTTGATTGTGTACAAGGAGAAATACGTGGAGTGACTATCGATTGATCACGTGGAAGGTCCAATTTTCGATGTCAACAGTATGCATTAATAAGTGCTTGTGTGCACAAAAGTTATGTATATTATAATTGATGGCGATCAATTATTTATTTGAAAATGCTTGCGGTTTTGGTTCGTAAATGGGAATTACGTTTAAATGCAACTCTAACCAGTTGTGGAGGCATAGGAATCCATTTGACATGGTGACTATTCAAAATAATAATAATAATAATAATTCCTTATACATGTGTCTTAAAAAATTAGCATCTATTTCAGAATAATATATATATATATATATATATATATTTAAATTAGATTATTTTGGTTACTAACGAGATTTAGTGGCTGCTTTATTATTAATTTTGTGTTCCATTTGTTTGGAAAATATTTCAGAATATTATTCTTATAAGAAGGCACATATGGCGTTCAACCACATGGTTATATTTGGAATGTGAATTGCTACTTCTTTATTTTGGTCGTGATGAATTGGATGCATAAATATTCGAAGAATGCATTTGTTGAAAATGTGTGAATTTCCATGACTATTTCTTTGCATACGTTACATATGAGAAAATTCTAAAGTATTAAAATTTTATGAAAGAAAGTATGCGAACTTTCATGACTATTTCTTCTACTTGAAATTGAAAATAACATGATAAATTTGTTTGATTGCTTTCATGTCTTGTTGAACTCATATTAACTTGAATTAATGTTGATAGCCTCATTTAATCGTATGGTATTAAGTGACATGACTTTATGCCAATTATATTTGCATAAAGTATTAAAAATCGCGAATTGCTTCTAGTGGAAATTGCTAAGATATGGAAATATTTTGTAGAGCACAAATTGTGTTTGCATATTAGTATGACAAAATTTATAATATGCTCTAAATAGCCTTCTTGTATAAAGGATATTGTGGAAATCAATTTTGATTAATTGATTATTCTCACTTTGCTATGACAATTGGGAATGACTCTTATACATGACATTTTAAATAATGCAATTTAAACCAATTGTGGTGGTTAAAGATCTACTTGATCATGATTGCTATTTCGATAATTAATTTCAATATATGGCTTGCAACATTTGCTTGGATAATACACGAACCCACTTGGGTAGCCCACATGTTTCTGTAGGACACCATTTACTGCACAGTGCATTTGCCATTATGTTGGCTTATGGACTTCGAGGTGCAAGTAAAGCACATCCATATTTGTGTTTTGAGACCAGCATATTAATATTTAATGGGTCTAAAGGATGTGCATAAATGTGGAAGGATGCCTACTATTTGTTGAAAGTACATGATAACTTCATGACTACTTCTATTGGAATATGAGAATTACTTGATAAATTTGATGGTTGATTTCATGTTTTATTGAAATGTTGATAGCCACAAATTAAGTGGGATAATCTTATGCAAAATTGGGTTTGCATATAAAAGGGACAAAGTGTGATTTTGCCCAAAAGTGAATAAGGCAAATATGTACCATGTCATTGAGGTGATATGATGCTATCTTGTGAAAGTCACGAAAGTGATAAATTGCCAACAATTGGAGATTAGTCTCATTCATTGTTGAATTGGACTTCAATCATGGAACCAAATTGAGTTGGTTTATGCTTGAAAAACATGGTAGGTCTATGAGATGACCTTGATCAAATTGTGTGATCAAAATTAAATAGTGGATTGAAGTACATTGTGAATTAATAATGACTATTTGAAAGTATGTAGACTTTCACGGTCATTATTGAAGTGATAAGCAAATTGAACTACAAAATATGTTGATGAACTCTAAGTTCAATTACAAT